GTTTTAGGGTGGAAGCAAGAAGAAACAAAAAAATCAGTTTTAGGGTTTCAATTGCGACTCTTCTCTGATGGCTTCCGTTTCCGATCTCCGAAAGAGGGTAAGTTCGATTGGCATTAAGAATGATCCCATATGGAAGACTGGCGACATGGCCACTGCTTCTGCCCTGACGCGAAAGGAGTTAAAACTGAGGAAGTTGAAGCAGAAGACGTTGTACGCAGAACTGTGGGATCTTACTAACGTGGGATGCACGGTAGAAGAGTTGTTAAATCAGTTGGTGAGGGAGGAGGGTCCTTCCGTCACTCAAACAAATCTGCTTCGCTGTGCTAAACTTTTTGACAAGGCGGGCAAAAAATCAACAAGCTCTGGAGATCTGTGAATGGATGATGAGGCAGAAGATGACACTTTCCGCCTCCCAGCATGGAGTTCATGTGGATCTTATTGCCAAGACTAAAGGTTTAGCAGCTGCTGAAAACTACTTCAACAACTTGGACCCCTGTGCCAAGAATCATTCCACTTACCGGAAGCTCCTGAAATGGTACTGTCGTGGGCTCGAGGAAGACAAGGCAAATGCTTTTTTCCGTAGAATGGATCGTCTCAACCTTCTCATCAGTTGTTCACCCTTTAACGATATGATGACTTTGTACATGGGTTTGGGTCAACCGGAGAAGGTAGTTGAGATCGTTGATGACATGAGAGATAGGTGTATCGGTTTCAATTATGTCAGTTATGGTATCTGGTGGAGGAGTTCTGAAGGAACTGCAGTGGACGATCTCGACATGCCCGACTTGCCCTACGATGATGAGCGCTCATGTAAGTCTTTTCGTAGAACGCTTTCACGGATAAATGAACGTGGCATTGTAGTAGCATACTTATAATCCATTAGTATTTGCTCTACTTCAAGATGTAATCACAATGACAAAATTCTTATGTCACGGCCCTATCCCGGGGATCCATCTAAAACCTAACTTCTAAATCAAGGAAGGTTTAGATGTTTAGTGTGGGAGGCAAATTGAAATATTAATTGGGCTTAAAGAGAGATATGAAGAAAAACTTTTTGTTAAGTATTGGATTGGACCGTTCATTTCATTTAAGCATATCGAGCCCATAAGCCCATAAGATGAAATGGTGTGTGGTTAACGCATAAAAACTAATTAACCCTAAACCTAGCCTTCCTAGCATCCACGTGAATCAGAGAAGGAGAAGGAGGCAGTGAGTTTCGCAAGAGAAAGAAAATCAGAGAGAAAACTTGGAGAAGAGGGGAGAAGAAAACGTTCACATGGACTTGAGGAAACGTGGATGAAGGAACAAGGAAGAAGAAGACGGTTTGGGTGGGATGAAAGAGATGGAGAAGGGTATCGCCAGTGGTGGAGAGGCTGCTGGAGAAGAAGACCAGAGATAAGACAAAGAATAAGTTGAACGTGATAGGAGGGAGAGCTATCCCGTTTTATGGAAGGAGAGGACCGAACAGGCAAAACGTATCGGAACTGAATGAACCTTTCTGGGTAAGTAAGCGAGACACAGACCTTTCTATAGCCGAAAACCGCTTGTCATTRGGAATTATGATCTGAAAGTTATTGGTGTTTTTATGGACTGATCTGTGCAGAATGAACATGCGATCAGTCGACTTCGCAGGTGATTTCCGGCTAAGTCCTAAAGAACTAGATGTTGATCTTGGTTTCGTTGGAAAGATCACGGATTCTAGTTTCTGAAGCTTTTTCCGGATTTGAATTACGAGGTATGGTCTGRTCGCAAATCGTATTTGAATATCAGGAAAGATCACAGTTTTCTGAATATGAAATTCTTGGTCTCAGATTCGACCAGTGAACTTTCGGAGCGATTTTCCGGCGATCCGTGAGGAGTTAGGCGACGATCTACATACCGTTGGATAGAGGATTCTTCGTAGATTCCGTGGCTCTTTTCCGATTTGGATTCCGWGGTAWGATGAACCCGKAATCTYCGATTTAAATTTYCCCTAGATGTCTGACCAGATTRTGTTCTCGGGTTTCACAGAGCTAACTTTGGAGGAAGGTCTATACTGTTACAGAAGGAGTTAGAACACGATTTTGGTACCGTTGGAAAGGTGACGTCACAAGGATTTCAGATCAAGTTTCGGTTTTCTAATCGGATCTAAATCCGGTGAGTTGTTGATGTTTCTTTCTGGGCAAGAAATATTTATTCTGTCAAAATCCAGAAACGTATTTTTGACTTGAATCGCTTTTCCAGAATGCAGATTCACATTCTTCTAGGTTCACTCCTCCATATTTGGTCATCCAAAGGCTAAGGTGAGGGTGTTTTCTAGATAACTTTAATACTAGTTAACACTAGATGTTCTTACATGTTAGTCTAGGGATGGAATGTGATGTTGTTGGTTATATGTGCTAAGTCTAGGAATGTTTGATGCTTGCTGATTGTTAGTATAAGGATTGTTTGATGTGTGGTAATTGTTTGGTAATTAAATAAAGTTAAAGATTAAAAAAGTATTGTTTGAGATTGTTAGAGTATAGGATATAGTTCTGGGAACAATCGCGTACGTAAGCCCGTTACAGAACTTTCCGTGTTGGACTACGAACGATCGCGTATGTAAGTCCGTTGTAGTCCAGGCCTTAGAGGGCCCATGACGGGGAGGACAGACCCAAAACGCGAGAAAGGGGTTGGCTCCGCCGTGAATTTAGGAAAAGTAAGGAAGGTGAAAAGTAAAGAATGTGAAAAAGAAAGGAAAGTAAAGAATGTGAAAAGTGAAATGTTTAAGTATGAGATAATGTATAAGTAAAAGTGATTATGGTGTAGAAATGCTAGGTATGGATGTTATGTTGCTAGTAATAAGTTGGGTGATGCATGTTCTATGTCTGGTTTAATGTGTTTAATTGTCTATTGTTTCCAAGTATTATAGTGGTTGTGGATAGCAATCTCACTGAGTAATTTCTTCCCGGAATTGCTCATCCCTCTTTTTCCCCTTTTAGTGTGTGCAGGTACGTTGCTTGTTGAGCAAGTTAGGGCACGAGACCTAGGGCTCAAAGTGATCGGGGTCGTGACGTGTCATCTTACTTTAGATTTCTTCCGGTGTGTTATTTCATGGCTTTGATCTTGACTCAGAATTGTGAGCTTTGTATCGTTTCTAATTAAAAGCATATTTGGTTTGCCTTGGCTTGGCTTCTTAACCAGTTTGGTTGATAATATCAGGATCTTGACTCTTGAGTCTGAAATCTTTTTTACACAAGAAAGTTTCAGAACTATTATTACATTAAGCAGAAACGAGTTGATCAAGAATTGTAGATAATTGGGCACTTCTTTCTTTTTCTCTTACCTTCTTGAGATTTGGATGAATTTTAGCCAAAAAGACATCAGTTATACAACAAAATATCAAACATGTGAATCCTATTCTTATAACTGAGAGGCTTTTTCAGAAGCCCGATGACAAACTCTACCTTTGATGCAGAGAGGATGTTCCTCCCGCAACGTACGAATTTTACTGACATCATCGACCCACTTGGTCTAGATCATCTATGTTCTATAAGAAGCTTCTCTCCTAATCAGTAAACACAGCTACTTTATTTAATTAGAGTAATATGATTCACAAACCAAGAACACTTTACTTTTTCATCTGCTGTTAACTTTGTCTTGTGAAAAATATTCTTCCGTATCTAAATTTTACAAAAACACACGGAAAGATGTCTCTCTATACAAGCACCACTTGATAAAAAGAGAATCTCCTTAAAACAAAAATTTAAATAGACATTCACTTTTGTGATTTACGGTTGAAGCAGCTTTTGCCGCATACTTGACTAAGACCGGCCCGGTCAAGAAACCAATCAGTTCAGTGAATTGTACACACTGGTGGTAACTTTTTTTTTGGCACAGACTGCAGCATGCTTTTTACCTCTTTCAAGATCCCAAAATTTCCCCTTCACAAGGATCTTTTTCCTTTTTCTTCTTCTTCCCTTCAACTCTACTACCGGGTTTTGCTTTGGCTGATCAAGAGTTTTTCCCTACCGAGAAGTTTAAGCTCCAGCTTGCGGATTCTATCTATACGTTTTTCATCCGAGGATGACATTGGACTTTTCAGAGGTTCAAGATACTCTCCAGTAATTTCTTGTACATCAGCCCTATCAAGCCATCATCCAGGCGAGTTTCTGCTACAGCTTCCTCGGACTCATTCATATGGTCTATTTTGGTAAGTCAACAAATATTTCGAGTTTATTTTGTTTAGTGAACAGTCTTTGCTTCTTTTATGCGTTTTTTCGTAGTTGGAGATTACAAAGTTTTTTTGTTCGTATACATATATATGTATGTAATGTGAATGTATCCTTCACCGGCTGGAGAAATAAAGGAGAAGGACGCAGAGACAAAAGGAGGGCAGCAAGAGTGAAAGAGATTAATTAGTTAAGGTTAACAATGAAGCCTTATTTTTTTTTGTCAAACTTACTACGAAAAACCAGTGTTAAATCTTTGGATTGTTAATTAGTTAAGGTTAACAATCAGTTTGGATTTGATAAATTTGTCGTGTTCGTTAAATGAGACTTGAATATAACCTCACATAAATTCGTTACCCACTCGGTGTTATCCCGTTTTTAGCAGCCCTAATATTATGGATTAAAATTAAATTAAACGACCAAAAATCAATTTTCAACGCCTATTGATTGCTGGCGAGGAGTTAAGCGGAATTAAAATTCCTCCTATTGATTGGGCTAAAATGAAATGCAGATTTATGCTTGAGTAAACTTTTTTATAACTCTTGGTATCTTTTTTTTTTTTTTTTTTTGTG